ATAGAGTTAACTTTTATTAGATGATGATAATTATAAATTATGAGCATAAATGATTCTTTAGATAAAGTAAGTTGTGAATATAAAAATTTTAAAAAGCACAACAGAAATCAATATGATAATGATGTTATTGATTATGATGATAAAGAATCTCGTCTTGAATTTTTAATGAACGATTTCGATGAAATTTATAATCTGAAAAATCCAATCAAAGACAGCCTCAAAAGTCAACATACCATTTCTAGAGATAATGATGAGTTACGACCAGGTAAAGAAAATGGAAAAGTTACTACTGCAAATAATAACAAATATAAAGATGATACTAATTATAACAAAGGATATAACAATAATAATAAACGACAGAAATTTGATGACAGCAACAATGATGATGATGTTGAAAAAAAGGAATTGACCGGGAATAAAAATCAAATTGAAACTGAACTTTATATTAATATGGATCAGTGTCAGTATTATATTCCTGGGCAATATCCAATCGAACCTGAACCTGGATCAAAACTTGGATCAGAACAAGATGAAGAAGACGAAGAAGAGATAATTCGCGAAAAGGAGGAGAAAGAGAAAAAGAAAAAGAAAAAGAAAGAGAAAGAGAAAAAGAAAGAGAAAACAAAAGTAAATCGACAAAACAAATCAAATAAAAAACAAACAAATCAAAGCCAAGTCCAAAATCAGGCAAATCTGAATCAAATCCATGGCCAAATCCAGAGCAAAATCCAATCGAATCAATACAAAATTCAAATCCAATCCGATCAAAGCCAAACAATTCAAATTCAAAACCAAAATCAATCGGATCAAAATCAAGCTGAAATTTCATCATCAAAATCTCATAATAATGACGATTATTCTGACAATCCCGATAATTCAAGCAAAGATTTATCAAATAATAAAAGAGACACTAACAGATATTTTGTGCACAACGGATATGATGATACTTATAACAATTCAATAATCACAAAATCAAAATTTCCAAGAAAAAATCAATCCAGTCCATGTCTATCTCCAAAGTTCTTAGCACTTAATATAATACTCGGAAATAATAGCAGATATTTTGAAATGGAAGTAGAGGAGTGTGACGGGTTTGTATTACATGAAGTCATATGGGATAGATTTCACAAAATCACGGATGAGTCAGGATTTTATGAGCTTGTAAAATTTATTATAGATTGTTCTTTGAATTGTTGGATGAATGGATTTGGAATCATCGTGATTTTGAATGCGAATTGTGATGAAATGAGAATGAATCCTTTAACCAAATTTATAAAATGCATTCGTAGCTTTTGTGATATTCAAATAATAGATATCATTGTGATAAGTGAAATTGCTGAATCAAACATATATGTGCTTCGAGAGGCTGGAGCTACGTTATTAGTGACTCATAGAGAGAGTATGAAGAAATCTTTTATTTTTCTTATGGATCATTTAGTAAGCAAGGGAAATAATTAGAATTAATGGATTCTTGCTCATATTAACATTGATCATAACATCATTTCTTTTTTTCTTGTGACCTCAGTATAAATATTATAGTAGACCAGGAAAAGGAATAATAAAATTTTATAATAGAGATGAACCTTATTATGAATTTACTAATTTTTATAGTCCAAAAAACAACATATTAATAGAAGGTGTATATTGGCAAACTACTGAACATTATTGTAAGTAATTTATTGGATGATTTCATATCTCTATCAAAACTTTACTAACAATAAATTGGTTGATAGTTCAAGCGGCTAAATTTAAAGATCCATTAATTCGTCTAAAAATTCAATATGCAAAATCAGCAAGAGAAGCATTTACAATTGCTAGATCACATGATCTAGAGAAAAGAGTAGATTGGGAATTGGTATTGACAGAAGAAAGAACAATATTCAAAGAGTTAATTATGAAAAATGCATTAAAGAGTAAATTTAAACAATTTCCCAACTTACAATTTAAATTACTTTCTACGTGTGATGCTGAAATAATAGAACATACACAAAATGATAGATACTGGGGAGATGGTGGGAATGGCGAAGGGTTGAATAGATTAGGTCAACTATTAAAAGAAGTCAGGACGGAGATTTTTCAAACTGAGCGTAACAGATTAATTCTTGAAAATGGATTAGGAGGAGGCCGGTATCAAGGCCAAAGATGGATTATACATCATCTACAATGTTTAAACCATTTGAGCTTTGATGGTAATAATAGTGACTATAATCTATAAGTTGTTTTATTGCTATTGATTAATATATAAATGTTGAATTGTGCTATTTTCGGAGTAAAATTGATATATGCAATTGAAAATCTTCAACAACTCGATTTGGATAATAAAATTTGGAAGAAACTTTAATTGTATATAATTAACAGTCGGCCAATTGAATTCAATTGAATAAAAAATAAATATTTAAAAATGTATGTGTCATATGTAATTCATGTAGTTTTCAAAAAGTTGAAGTTTCTATAATGAAAAATATTCAGTGGCATTCATTTCATCGACAATCATTTTGCTGACAGTCATTTCACCAACAACACAGAGGGTGATGATTTCGCGTGTGGGCACATATTATTAATAATTTTATCATTTGAAGTTAAATGTTATGTTGAGTGTTGTCAATGAAATGAACTGTCGATGAAATGATTGTCAACAAAATGATACAGACCCAAAAATATTATATATAGGAAATTTTCATGATAAAAATTTTAAACATATAATTTCTGTCATGAAAATTGTATATATTTCCTAACTTAATTAAATTGATTAAAATAGTATATAGTATTCCTTTTTCATCTGTAGATTGTGAAAGAGGGTTTTCTTGTCAAAATATAATTAAAAATTAGGATGAGAAATTTATTAAATACAGTAACTTTAGATATGTTAATGTGAGTATCTTTGGAGGGTCCACCAAGTAAAGAATTTGATTTCAATAGAGCATATACTATCTGAAATTCAAAAAAGATATGGAGTACATGAATAAATTTAATTATAAATAGAAATTTTTTATAAAATTTTTTCTGCTGGAAATCTTTCCTATTGTAAAAAAATTTGTCAGAAAAATGAGAGTTCTGTTGGGAAAAACCGGCAAATTAGAGTACCTTTTGTGCACTGATTATGCTCAAAACACTAGAAGCTTATCTAAGAAATGAAAGGATCACCTATGAAATTTATCAAGAGGAAAGAAAAATAATAAATATTAGAAAAAAAAAGTAGAATGAAGGTGTGCTACAGAGGGTGATCACGGGTTTCCGAACGATAAGTATTTTTTATTTTTTTTTGCTTTGTTTACATCATTTACGCGTA